GCGAATATACGTGTTCATTTTTTTATGGAAAGGGAAATGAGGATCAAGAATTAGGTATACACTTTTTGTACACAAGAGAGCCATACAAGAGTCAAGGTGACCAACTTTGTTAGTGATAAGATGTCCTACATAATGCTAAGAGGTCGCTTTTGTGATATCATTGTTCTGAATGTTAATGTCCCAACAGTGGATAAACTTGGTGATATGAAGGGCAGGTTCTAGGAGGAAGTGGAATATGTATTCCATAAATTCCCTTTCTTTTTCAGTGCCTCTTCCAGCCCATTCAGGGCCCTGGCCCATTATTTAGTTCTGTAATCATTTTACAGACTGTAGTACAGCTTGCACGAGTGATCAGCCAACCGAAAGGCCGCTACCTAAACACAAGAAAACACAAACACGGAGTAAACGCACACACGCACGTATGAGAGATCCGTGCTTTGACTGGGATTCGAACCGAAGAACCCAGCGTCAGAGTGAGCGAAATTAGTTGCTGCCTTAGACTGCGCGGCTACTGTGACCGGCAAATTTCCTAAACACCACATCAAATTATTTGAAGAGATTTGCTTACGAAAGTAGATAGGAAAAACATTTTCCTTCAGAGTCACTAGTTTTTCTGACTTTTTCCGTGCACCGGTTTTCGGAAAAAGAGAAAACACAACGTTTCGGAATGTAGATCTGTTTCTTTGTCAGGTGAAGGGAAGTCACTCAGTTGGGTTTCTTGGGAAGAGCCACAAGCTACGTAACCTCAGTAACTGTACAACACCTGTCAGACTCAAAGTCACAGTTACTTTACAACTGGCGGTTCAACACCAATCAGTTCGTCTTGTCGACAAGCCCCTTGAGACTCGCTACCAGTATTTCTTTCAACTGAAAATTTGCGGTCATAGTCCTTGTGTAACATTGTCTCTCACGAGAGGATGGGTCTGTACTTTGCAATTGCTGGAGGTCCTCACCAGCGTAATCATTCCCAGGTCCGAGTCCCTCGGGACACATGACCACATTTTATTGTCTCAGATTTAGGACTCCCCCAACCTGGAGGGACAGGAACCCCCATTCATATTCTCCAGATACAAAGTGGCCCTGGTGTACCCCCAGACAGTGGGTTCCATTTTCGTCGGTTCCTACGGCTTGCAGGACTACGGCGGAAATATTCGAATGTTACTGTCCAAGTCCAAGTCACATTGCGACTGACGGTCAGTCAGTCTGTTTGTCTTGGTTTCGATCCCAGGGTGGGGCTCATGAAGAGTTTCCCCCCCCCCCTTATATGATAGTTACTGTCCTGTTCATTTGGGGCGCCCTGTCTGACGAGAGGTCGGGTCTGTCATTTGTCAGTCATTGTCCACATTATTAAGTCCATTGTCAGTATTTACATATATTTACCAATTTAATCTCAATTCCTATTTCTGTATTCATTATATACAAGGCTTGTCTCAATCCAGGCTCAGTACAGCAGACTATGCCCTATTTCTATTAGCAATCGCTACCACAGCAGTCTAGCCACTTGAACGGGCGTATGCCTGACCGCCGCCAAGTTTAAGCCTCTTATACTTTCTGTGACGGGCTTCGCCTTCTCCGATGTTGCGGACATTCTCATTATCATGATTTTGTATGCCTTCTGCTTGTTTCCTGCATAATTTTGTTATATAGTCATACTCGTACGGGATTTTAAATGCCATGTGCAAATCGCGGACCGGTGTGCGCCTTGGAAAATTGACAATGGTGCGGAGAACCTTGTTTTGCAGGCGCTGCAATTTCACTAGATGGGTGTCTGCCGCAAACTCCCAGGCGGGACTAGCTTAAGTCATTACGGATCTAATAAGAGCTTTATGGAGGGTCAGTTTAATGTTAGCGCTCAATCGCTCACTTTTCAATACGGAATATTCTCTAATGAATGTTCTGAAGGCCTTGGCTTCGATCATTTCTATGTGCAATCTCCATGTAATTCTCTTATTGAAGATTACACCTAGATATGTTGCACTATTTACGAGTGGAATATTTCGTCCATTAGAGTGAGAGAAGACTTAGGCGCTCGACGACGACGAGAGTAGACCCCCTGAGTCTTATCTTCATTAATTTTAATATTCCACGCTGTTACTGTCAGATTTTCTAAAGTTATTTAAATACCTGAGACCACACTATTTCAAAGGCATATCAAATGATAATATGAAATTATGATTGTGATAAGACACGCTTATTCGTGGAACAGAATTAAAAGGGAGTTGAGAATTTTTGCTAAGAGGGTAAGCAACAAACCAAGTCCATGAACACCAATGGGCAGAATTAAGTGGGAAATTTGTGAAAACATGTAGTGTCTGCCGCTAGCGCCATCAGTGGAGTAAAATCTGAACACTCGAAGCTATTACCTTATAGCAAAGCAAGAAGAATCAGTCATGTCTAGGGCCCGGATCTTTATGCTCTAAAAACACTTATAATATGAACTAAAAACAGGTCACTTTATTCAGACTCACCTATTTACATGTATCATTCACTGCAGATAGTAGCATCACAATAGGCAACTAGAAGTCTTTAAATGTTTTCTGGAGACGAACTTCGTCTATTGTCCGTCAAATGAGTTTATACTCGTAGGCTGAGAATGATCTTTCTACATCAACTGACGTGAATGGACAGTATTTATACACTGGCGCCGAAGGTTCGGAACAGTCATCTTGCAAAGATACCCAAATTCCACTCAAATACTGACCAATTGACTGAATCTTTTTTAGTCCTGGGTTCGATTTCAACACCTTTTCTAACTTGAATTTAGTCTTGTCTCCAATTTCGCCTGGAGCGGAATTCAGTGAACAAGTTGCTTTCTGAACGAGTTGCTTTCTGAACGAGTTGAAGGGAGTCGTGAAGGCGTGCACCACAAGATTCTAAGCTCTCAATGGCTTTTGAAACTGCAGAGAAATGTGCATGGANAGTGATTGAGGCTAGCTCTCTCTAAGGGACCCAACTGAATAGGTGTTTTCCTTCACCTGAGGACGGAAACAGATCCAGTTTCCGAAACGTCGTGTTTTTGTTATCTTAAAAACTAGGACGATGGATAAAGTCCATAAACCCAATATATCAGTGACTTCTTTTACTTGGTTGAAATTCTCCAGATAAAATGAAACTGCGGATATCCATGTCCCCCACCTACTTAGGACAGGTTCAGGTGGCAGAGAAACCTGAGGTAGGTAATCTTTGTAGAACTGGACACTAGCTGGTGCTTTCAGAAACAGTTTCGTCCCACTTGCAATTTAATCGTTAACAGCTGGAAACTGTGCGCGTATTTTTTTTTTTGCAATACGGTGTAATCCGTGCGCTAAACAGGTTACGTGTATAAGATTTGGATAAAATACTAGTAAGGCCTTTGCTGCTTTCAATATATTGGAAGCTGCATCTGTGAGTAATACAACCACCTTACAACAATTATTCTCAATTTCAGATTGCCTTAGTAGTCGCAGAGAATCATTTACAAATCTTGCTATTGTGCAATGGTTGGTTTTCTCTAGTACTTTGCAAACAACAAGATGAGGGTTGCCGGGTTCTTCTGGATGTAGCTTACCAACTACGAAATTTGCTATGTATCGGCCACATAAATCGGTTGTCTCATCATCGATATCCAGACACAGTTCCCTCCGATGTCAGGAATTACACAATATTTCTCCAGAAATGATCGCAGAACTGAATTGCATAATTTATTCCGTGGAATGTTGCTGCATACTAAACTCTTACAGAGATCGGCTGAAAATGTATTAACAGAGGATTTGGGTTTGACCCGTGTAAGAAGTAGCTGTTGTGGTGTGCTGTTCTTCTTCCCCTTCTTTGCCGCAATATGTGCAGTCGTTCGTTAGTGTTGCTCAAGTTGAAATTTCTTTTCACATTTTACTTCCTTTGCGCACACTTGAGAGTACACGACGACACCTTCTGTTGAATAGTCACTATTACCCGACACCCACCGAATTTTGAAATATCTACTGCTACACTTTTCTTTAGGCATTTTCAATACACGAACACTCTTTTGACGCAGACTATTAAAGTAAAGAGTAACACTTTAACTGAAGAGACTTCTCTCGAGACTAACCCTCTGATGCTACTCTCTGCTGTGGTGGGCAAAGAAATGCAGGAAAAACCCACCCCACCCTTTCGATATAGCCAAGCTACCTGCTTGTATTGTAAGTGGTAAAAGTGCCGTTTCTAAGAGAGATGAGAATAGCAACTGGCAAGGGATGTCCTAAACAGAAGCAAAACCAATTTTGTTGGAGAAAATTGAAATTATCCTTAATTCCAAACATATATGCAGAAATATGCTCTTGCGTTTAGAATAAGCAGTAACGCCCAAAAGCCCTCAAAATCTTCATTTCCATATGGGCATATGCATTTTAAAAAAATCCTGGCCCTATTCATGTCAGAGAGAACTCTGAGAGTGGGCAACCTCATTGGTAATGAGGGGGACCCAGGTGGGAGGGACGGCGAAACTTTGTTGGTTGATCGGTTTGGTTAAGCTTGTCTCATTGATCTGTTCCTTGTATTTCCTGTATCAGCTGTGACTTTCAATTTCCGAACTCGTGACCACACCAAGCGAACAAGGGGAAGGTCACAGTATAACGCACTGAAGAGTTCCAGCACAGCCGCTGCAACTGTTGTGAAGAAGAAATAGAACAGTTCATCGCGTAGGGGATCACCGCACAACAGTATACATTTAATAGATACACAGACCAGGGCCGAGCCCCAGGAAGGCCCCAAACAATATGGCATGCGTCATTACGCCAGAAAAATATTCAGGAGTACATAAATTATATGTTGATGCTAATTAGAAATTTATTTTTAAACGGAAACTGTAATTTAAATTTAACCGTTAAAATTATAACGCAAATCGAATTAAAGTTTATAAATCACCAATGTGGAGTCATGTCGGCAAGTTATCCAATTAGGTGTGACATATTCATATAATGATTGCGTGATGGTGAACCGACAGGGTGGAAACATGCAGCAATAATTCACACAATAAACTAATATTAATGAGTAATATTATTTTGTTTATTATAGAATTGTTTTATTGACTGATACATTAAGAGTACAATATATGATAACACACAACAGGATAAAACAATAAATATTAAGAGATACACAGAAACTTTCTTGCAAGAAATTTGCTGGAAACCTGGAGACTAAAATAACTGTAAACGAAAATGTGTACTGAAGTAGAGGGGGAATTATCCGAGAGGAAGGGAAGCATAGGCGTGAATAGGAATGCCACCAAGTGATTGTGGGGCTGGGGGAAGCACCTAAAGGAATGCTTATCATGGAACCTTATATCCGATGGTTATATGTTGTGGATACTGCATGCTTTTCTGTTGCCCCTGCAACTGCCTCTTCCACTCCGAACCGTGTATTCTGTGTGTGACGTCAGATGGAAGAAACCTTTCCCATTCTGAAATGACAGAGTAAACCGTCCCCATTACAGTATAAATTGTAGGTGCCCATGGATATGAAAGGCGTCAGTAGGCCCCATAGCTTCCTAAGAACCCAGGAATGCAGTGGAAATTCAGGATAGAAGAAATATTGTCTCCCCTCTTGCTTATGATTCAGTAAACTTTATCTAGTTGCATTTTGCATGGTGCTGACGAACTGCTCGATTGTTTCAAACAGTTGACCCACAGTAAGGCTGTGTCTGTCATATTTCCCTGTTGCACTGTCCGTGTGTAGACCTAGTACACTTACTAGAGCTTGCACACTAATTTGCTGCTTATTGAACATAATGATAGTGTTCGCGACATTGTAGGGATTCGAGATGACTTGAAGGAATTCCTTGAGCAGTTCATTCTTTCCATGTGCTGTTTTAGAGGGAACGGTTGAAGCTCCCTGCTTGCCTATAACCTCCAGAACTGCTCTCAAGAATGTGGTAGTGGTAAGGTTTGCAGTGTCATAATTACCGGTTGAGTTGTCAACTTTTAACCCCAGTGCAAACACGATCACGCTTATGGAAACGCTGTGTCCATCCACCACAAGAACAGAAGTATTAACACTCTCAGCGTTTGGCAGAATTTCTATGAAGAACTTCCGTACTGCTTGAGGACCTGTTTCAGCCTTCTCCGACTGCTGCTGAAACTCTATACACAACTCTATTACGAGCCAGGGCTCCTCTCGGCTTAAATTCCGAGAGTCGATTCCTCGCGCCTTTAGGATAAGTTTGATGTATTGGAATATGATGATATACTCATTGATTTCAACAGCTTCTGTGGCATTGTCCCCTTGTGCTTTGTGGATCTGCAGTACCTCTTTCAGGCTGGCGATATCTTCACCAGGTGGTTTAAGATTAACAGTAATTGAACTTCCTTCATGTTCCACACACAAACACACATATATATATATATATCGAGGATTAGGTAGAGTTCAGATATTGTTAAATTCTTGAAGCTTACATCATGTCCTTTGATAATTTCTGCAATGAACTGTATTGAGATTTCATATCCATTGTAAGGAAAATTTCCATTGTTTCCTTCTTTGTTTGTCTTCAAATATTGCAGAGTCGCCAGTAATGTAACAATCTCGTTCTTAGTTGCGCATGCTATTTCTGGTCTAATAGTTTCAGCATAGGGTACATATAGCAATAAATGTGTTATTTGTCTGCAGCTGTGGCGTTGCCGACGTCCATAAATTTCAGGCTCAGATCGATTATTGTGAGCTGAACACAGATGTTTCCCCTCCCCCCGAAATCTATGTAACCAGTCCCATTTATTCCTTCATAAATGGCTCCTCCAAAATTCTGTTAAGTGTGTCATTTTAATGTTCTGTAAGTTCGGATCCAGAGGGTTCAAGTGTTCTGTTTTTTTTTTATGTTTTTGTTGATGTCCCACTGTCTGGCCCTGCACTTACGGCAGTGGTAGAAGTGGTCTCCTTTTTTTTGTTTTTGTTGTTTTTGTTGATATCCCACTGTCTGGCCCTGCGATTACTGCAGTGGTTTTGTTTGTCTCATTACATTCATGCAGGAGCATGATACTCCATAACTCTTTGCTGCTCAATCTATCTATCCTTAGTCCATGTTGGTCCATGTAACTTAGGATGAACTGTGTAGAAGTTCTGTACCCGCTGAATATGAATGAGCCCACAGCGGGAGACCGTTGCGTCTTCATGAAGTCTATTAAGGCCGTAAGTTCAAGTGTCTGTTCCTCTGTTGGTTGTGTGCCTAGGGGTACACGTGTAGGAGGGGTGTATTTCCTTAAGCATGCACTTAGAGTTATATATAACTGCTCGATAGTGGCGGTACGAAAATCTTTTCCAAATATCTTCAACTGGTTTAGTAGGTAAGATACTGGAATTTTCACCCCATCTATGACAATTTGACCCGTAATCCTTATATTGTTTCTCAAATACGTTATTGCATAGAGCAGTGTGACTTGTTCATTCTTGCTTATATTCCGGTTTTGTGTTTCACTTCCAAGTTTCTTCTCATAAAGTTCATACATCTTCATTAGTTCCCACAGTTCTGACACCTCCAGTGAATATATGTCTATGCCTTGCAAATGCACGACAGTCATTATGAAGTCTATTGAGAGTGTGTGGCTTTTGAATTTCACTTCACCTATCGCTCCATCGCCCAGGAATTTCAGATAGTTCAGTATGTCCCGCAGGACCGCCTTCTCTTTCTTAGGCAGTCCATTAAATTCTTCAGTTTCGGAGACGTAAGACGTTATGATGCGATACAACAGTGTATTCGTCGTTATTTTATAGACACTTCCGTGCTGGACCAGATTCCATTCAATGAACTGTAGAGATATTCTGTGTCCGCGCAATACGAATGTGCCCGTAGCGTTGAAACCTTGCGACCTCAGGTAATTTAGTATGACTGGAAGTTGGTTTTTGACATATGCTTCTGCGTAAAATGGATATATGGTTTCAGGATTTTTATATTTTGTTGGATTTGTCTTTATTTTTTTGATTATATTCGAAGTCGTGGCGTTTTTAATTTGACTCGACGTGCGAAACACCCTTTTCAGTTCAGCTGTCTCTCCTTCCATGTAAACTCGACCCGTAGTGCTTCCTCTGTTTTGTACACACGTTTTTATAAAGAGCGCTGTGACGTGTTCGTACTTGCTTATGTCCCGGGTTCGTGGTTCACTTTCCGCTTTCTTCTCATAATACTCGTACAGCTGTATTTTTTCCCACAGATCTTCCACCGTTATATCTGAAATGAGTTTCCTGTCGATGTACGCAGCTGTCACTATGAAGTCTACCGGAATGCGCTGCCCGTTGAACGTAAAATCGCCCGTCACCGACAAATAAATCTGGATTCTTAAATAGTCATACATGCACTGTAAAGTGATGTTCTGCTCCCAAGACAGCTCCGTCTTAGGACCGCGGCCCTGTTTAACTTCATCTCTATACCCACAGAGATATCCCACTCCGGCATCGTCTCTTATATAATCAGGGACCGCTTCAGCTTCAACGTTACTGGCTAATGCTGTGAAGGCGAGTAACAGCCAAACCTGTAAAACCAGAACGTTTGTCAGGATTGGAATATTCACCCTGAAAAGGAGGCAGTAATGTCCTCCGAAACATATTAAACTACAAGATGTATTAACCAAGAGGACTACAATCTAAATACATTGCAGTATGTTTACCCCATGGAGATATTTCCACCCTTTCAGAACAGTGTAAACCTCCCTCCGGCTGCCAGTTATCTGCACCCCTCCCTCCTTCTGGACAGCGCCCTGCTCCCCCGGATGGGATGGGTCCCTGGGAGTAAATCGCTGGTTACGTGCCCAGGATAAGGGTGCGTGGAGCAGTATCTCCATTCCCCCATGCATGTTTATGGTGCGATGCTTAATTAAGCACAAGCTGAGCTTATCTTATACTAGAATCCAGGCGAACAGCACGCCCAAGCAGGGACTTCACCCCCTCCAGTACTCAGCTGGCTCAGCCGAACTTCAGTAATATATTTCTTACATCCTTGTGACATTCATTTGCATGCAGGATGCAACAAGCACAACCCATCATAAATCTGCGTGGACTGTGATATCGCTATAGGACTACTGTGAGGACCTCGTTTTCAAATATTCGCACACAAATTTGAAAATGTCAAATTTCTCTGCGTATGAATGAGGAAACTGAAATGAAACACCTAGAAGCATCGGACCTCCCCAAAAGAAGAATAGAGCCACTTCTTAGAATACGGAGAAATCTGTCAAAATTCTATGGTCTAGTGGTCATTATAGTGCGAAAAAACGCGTTTTCGGCTCAAATGGAGGTTTGCGTTATCTCCCATTACTAGATACCTGTTGAAGCTAGAGACTCAAATGAAAAGCCAATGTGTTTCTCATGATATGGCCTGCAAATCATATTATTACTCAACTCACTTGTTCCAGGTGTAATCAAGCTTGAAACTTAGCTATCGATTTTGTGGAAAACGCTATTTTTCACCTTCAGAAACCAATGGTAGGGGAAAGTATTAGATCTGTGGTTTCTACCCTGTGTTACCTACATGGGAAATATAATCACGTAGTTTTGAACCCCGTACTTATTTTCCAAAATTTTCCAGGAGCTTCCAAACTTTGCTCTGGGCCCCAAATCGGCAATTTTTAACATCTCATAACTCCGGTGGGGAACCTCCGAAAATTTTGAAACTCATAGAATATAATGTTCTATTCTAGAGTAACATGGAATTAAAATTACAACTTTCATATTCAACTAATAGCAAAGTTTTTATAATGCGAATAAACGCGTTTTCGGCTGAAGTGGAGGTTTGTATTATCTCCCATATCTCGATTACTATTGAAGCTAGAGACTCCAATAAGAAACAGATGTGTTCCTCATGTTATGGACAACAAACACGTAATTACAGGTTTTCACTCAACTCACTTCCTCTAGGTCTAATTAAGCTCGAAACTTACCTATCGATTTTGGGAAAAACGCCATTTTTCACCTTCAAAAACCAGAAGGAGGGGGAAGTATCAGATCTGTGGCTTCTACCCTTTGTCGATACCTATATGGGGAATATAATCAATAGCTTGAATCCCGTACCTAGTTTTCAGAAATTTCTAGGTGTTTTCAAACTTTGCTATGGGCCCAAATTCGGCCATTTTAAACATCTCATATCTCCCGTGGTGAAGTTGTAATTTTTAGTCCAAGTTACTCTAGAGTAGAGCATAATTTAATATGAATTTCAAATTTTTCGGAGCTTCTCCACCGGAGATATGAGATGCTAAAAACGGCTGATTTTTTGCCCATAGCAAAGTTTGGAAAGTCCTGGAAAATTCTGGAAAACTGGTACGGCGTTCAACCTACTTGATTATATTCCCCATGTAGGAAACAACAGAGAGAAGAAACCATAGATCTGAACCTTTCCCCCTCCCATTGGTTTCTGAAGGTGAAAAATAGCGTTTTTCCCAAAAATCGATGGGTAAGTTTTGAGCTTAATTTCACCTAGAAGAAGCGAGTTAAGAAAAACCTTGTAATGATATGATTTGCAGTAAATATCATGAGGAACAAATTTGTTTTTCACTGGAGATTCTAGCTTCAACAGTTATCGAGATATGGGAGATAACGCAAACCTCCATTTGAGCCCAAAACGCGTTTTTTCGCAATGTAAAATCGGCTGTACCGGGTGAACGGAGCGGGTTACATTTTTTCTAAATATTTTTGAAGTGTGAAAATATATAGAAATTAGTGTACAGAATATGATTTTTTTTAATGGTGAGCGACCCCTCTGAATGACTTTACAAGTAATGACCCATAGGGAAGGAAGCGGTCGGGGCTTAATGCAAGGTAACATCCAGACATTCACCCGGAGTTAAAGGAAAATTTTGTCCTTGCGCTTAATTATTTGAGAACTATGGCGTTAAGACGTACTGGGGAGTGGAGGTATGGCTCCGGTGTTCTTTACCTCCCCACTGGATGGAGGTGAGTGGTCAGTTTCATGCAACATTTTGGTAGGAATGCATCACCTGAAAGTAATACTTTAGGAGACATTGTGTCAAATGTGGAATAATATTAAAATGTATTGTCGCGTATCGGGCGTATATCGCGACAGATAACTTCACGCCGTATTTTATATAGCGAATTTTATTTCACATTCGCACTTACAATCACACAATTGACAGTTTTAGAATTACTGCTATGTGCAGTATCACAAATAGTACACTCCAAATGCCAGAATACAACTGACTAGTTGCTGGCTAACTCGGAACTAACTCGGAGGGAGCTCGAGGACTCACTCGGCGGTAGCTCCAGGACTGACTGTGAATAGCCTTCGCTGCTCCTTATGTAGCCTCGATCGGACAATTGTCGCCTGGTGCCTTGTTGCTAGCCACGCTGTCCGGAGTTGTTGACTGCTGCCTAGCAACCGCGATATCCCTCGGTGACGTCACCGCTGTTGATTCGCTTGCATAGCTTCAAGGTCGCGGGGACTCGGCTAACGTCGGCTCCGCTCGGCTCACTTCGGCTCCGCTCGTGACGTCACCGCGCGTTGCGCATTGCATAGCTACCAGGATGGGGGGTGATTCCTCGCCTATTACGCAAGCGCTACGTTACAACTACGTGCAGCTGGGGAGGTAGGGGTCAACATGTCACAGTATTTGTAGCAATGTGTGTGACAGGGTGTGAATTGGATTCAGCTGTCAGGTAGCGTGTTTTTGTGAACGTGGTAATGTAGCTTCGGGGGTGTAAATGCCCGAGGGATTCTTGAGTAGCTGAGCGACTGTTAGGTTTATAAGAAAGATTACCTTCCATGGAATTTGCCTAAATGCCTCCGTAACAGAGCTGACCAAGAAGAAATATTACCAATGACTGAGAAATGCTAATTTAAATTGATGTACGAGAAAATAAAGTACTCACGACATTATGTGTATTTACGCTGTTGCATTTTATTTGTAGGAAACTTGGCGGGTACTCACTGTCCATGTTAAGGTGCCCATGTTGCTCACGCGCCCCTCCTCTGTGAACACTGAAAGCTTGAAGCACGATGATTGCTCCAGTGGGAGGACGTCCGTATTTAAGAGGTTAGTTGCCGTTATCTCCCTTTTTGTGCGACACGCGCGGCGTTTCAGATCTAGGGAAATAGGTAACCTCATATTTCCCATGTGCGTGCTTGAAGGTAGATAAACCTTCGCCTGGTATGCAAATTTAGTATTCACGTGTAAATTCATGATAATGACACGATAGACGGCGAGTTCTGGAGGGATGCCTGGCTGCCCGATAACTTGGCAGCACGAAAGGTTTATCCTTAAAAAAGGAACACACTCTTCTGTGGGTTAGACACATTTAATACGTTCGAGATTGAGACATGTAATCTGGGGCCGATTTGAAGATTCACGAACAAGAACCGGGAGTTTCCCTGGGCACGAAACAAAGATAGATGGACGTTTAGGGTATAGTGTCGGAAAATTTTATAATCGACGTACCCCTCGGTCTCGAAGTGAAATCTGACATACACACTGGTCGCAGAAAGAAACCTCACACTCCTCTCAGTCTCGACTAAACTTCACGCAATGCTCAATCTTAACGTAAGACTTTACGCACCGCCTAGACTCAGGGTGAAGCCTCATGCATCGCTGAATATCAGAATCAAAGTTCACTCACGCCTCAATCTCAGGATTTATCTTCAGGAAGAAGCTGGTCTCAGAATCAAACTTCACGGTCCGCTTAGTCTCAGGATGAAACTTCGCGCATTGCGCAATCTCATGGTGCACCCTCACGCACACGCTTGTCTCAGAATGAAACTGAATGCAATCTCTTATCTCAGAATGTAACTTATCTCACCGCTTGTTCTCAAGGTGAAAATTTACTCATCGCTCGGTTTCACCTCGTTGCTAGGCCACAACCAGCGAATGAATTAACTGCCTGGATCACCGTAGCCCTGCGTGTTTCAGGAGGCTACGAATATGAAACACTAAAACATGGTCGCTAGTCTCACGGTACTCGAGAACAACTGCGCTGGCGAGGGCCAGCAGCATTTGAAAACGGGAGACCCGTCCTCTCGTCAGAGACAGCGACCCATATCATCAAAGCCACAAGTGTACGACAGCAATAAAGATGTGGTCATAAGCCCCAGACGGGACCTTTGCTCGAAGACAGCCTGGCTGACTGACCATCGGTCGTAACAAAGACTCAGACTCAGGCCGATTTCAGCAGTTGTTGGCAGGATTTCAGTAGTAACCTGGAGGGGTACAGAGGAGTACAGGAACTGGGCCTGTGAAGGTTTAACTGTGAACTCAAGGCTATATGCGCTGTGGTACAGTGATATTGGGCGTGTGTGATTTAGTGAGACTTTTGTATTTCGTGAGTTATGGATCCGTTGCCGGGAAACGGGTGTGAAGAGTGGATAGGTACTGGGAAGATTAGCGTGGAGTGTTCTGTAGAGTACATATCAGTAACAGTGTTATAGTTATTTGCAGTTATGACTTGTAAATGGTCTATAATTACTAAAACACGTGACATTATATAGAGACATTTTCAAAGATATTGACCAGCTCACCTCACTGCACTTCACAGCGACCTGTTCGTTGCCGGCCGCGAATCGCATTAAAATTTTGCCTGTGGCTCAACATACTTGACGCCCGATGGTGTATTGAATGAAAGACAATAATTAACGGCGGGTAGTGCAGTTCATGCATGTGGAGTCAGTTTAGGATTTGTCAGCAGTAAACAGTAGTTATCAGTGCCATGAATAATTTGTTCTCAGTTTACCATTAATCAACCATGCGCCGGTTGCGGTGACGTGTCGAGCCGTGACCGCGATAATTTTACAAATAACTCTGTATGAGGATGTATAAGGATTTGGAGCATTGCTTTGTATGGGGCTGAAACTTGTACACTTAGGGCAGTAGATCGGAAACACGTGGAAAGATTCGAAATGTGGTGTTGGAGAAGGATGGAGAAGATCAGTTGGACCAATTATGTGAGAAATTAAGAAGTGTTATTTAGAGTCATTGAGCAGAGGAATATCCTACACGAAATAAGAAAACGGAAGGCTAATTGGATTGGTCATATCTTACGCGGTAACTGCCTTCTAAAAGAAGTTATAGAAGGAAAGATAGAGGGGCGGATAGAAGTGACCAGAAGACGAGGAAGAAGACGTAAGAAAATGCTGGATGACCTTGGGGACAGAAGAGGATATTTTCATTTGAAGGAGAAAGCTCTTAATCGCATTAAGTGGATGAACTGTTTTGGAAGAGACTGTGGACCTGTCGTCTTGACAGATTACAGATGAATGAATGAATGAATGAATAAGGATGTATTTACGAGTCCATATTAGGCGGGTCCCTCACCACGGCATGGCGCCCTCTCAGGTTTCAGATGGAGTAGGCCTCCAGATATGGAGCGCAGCATCGAGTATAGAGAATAAGCAGACGCAGACAACAGACAATGGGTGTTCCTCGAGCTTGGGGGTTGGACATGGGGCCAAAAACTAGTCACACTTGAGCCATGCGTCTTACTTTGGCTCCGTTCAGCGGCTTCTCTTCCTACCCCCCCTTTTTTTCTTCTTCTCCTTTTGTCTAGAAGTTCTTCCGTCCTGCCCTATCACGTGATCCCCCCCTCCAACTGGTTCTGCTTTTATGGTAACTAGTAGGGTAGGCATAGACGTACACTCTAGGACGAGACGTCGGGAAAGAGGTAACAAGCAAAATTCTTTTTTTTGGGCGTGGCCAGTCTAAATTCTGTTTGGATTGTTTCCCGTGAAGTTTTACGAAAAGGAATAGCCGTATTGGTGGTCTGGGGCTATATACATATATACATATCTATATTTACATTTTTTTTGGCCGGAAACTATTGGCTTATTATTTACTTGGGTGACGATGTATTCGTATATTTGTAGGCAAGCTAAAAATGTTAGCTAAACTATTGTGATCTATTATTTGTACTGTTCTGAGAGTTATTGTAGGCAAGCCAAAAATGTTAGCTAAACTATTGTGATCTATTATTTGTACTGTTCTGAGAGTTATTGTAGGCAAGCCAAAAATGTTAGCTAAACTATTGTGATCTATTATTTGTACTGTCCTGAGAGTTATTGTAGTGTACCATATTATACGTGTTATATTAAACTTTTGTACTGCTTGGACATCCCTTTATCTCGGGGAAGTATTAGACGCAACAACGAGAACTAGGAGACGGAAACGGCGTCCTTCCCCCCCCCCCGGCAGGAGGAAAGGTAAAGGGGGAGTGTCAGCTCACACTAAAAATATGCCTGTTACGATATATCACGTAAACTTTGGACTTGGACGGATTCTTTGATTCACTATCTAATGTAAGAAAACTGAATATGAGTTTCAGTACGTGGACCGTAAGAAGTCTGTAGAGGGCAGGTTCGCCCATCACAGTTTCGAAAAACATCGAAACAGAATTTATATTTAACGAGAGCACAGAAGAGCATATGTGACAGAGGTAGCTCTGAAACAGCAGGCAAATATACGCGTTCATTTTTCTGTGGAAACGGAAATGAGAATCAGGAATTAGGTACAGTTTCTATGTACACAAGAGAACCATATAACAGTTAAGAGGGCCGAGTTTGTTAGTGATAAGATGTCCTACGTAATGCTAAGAGGTCGTTGTTGTGATATCATTGTTCTGAATGTTAATGTCCCAACAGTGGATAAACTTTGCGATATGAAGGACAGGTTCTACGAGTAACTGGTACATGTATTCGATAAATTCACTTTTTTTAATGGCTCTTCCAGACAATTCATGGCCCTGTTATTTAGTTCGGTAATCAATTTTCACACGGTAGGACACCTTGCATGAGTGATCAGCCCGTCGCAAGGTCACTACCTAAACACAGGACAACACATACACGGAGTAAACGCACACACACATATACACATAGAACATCCATGTTTTCAGTGGGATTGGAACCGCAAATCCCAGAATCAGAGCGAGTGAAGGCTCTTCCTACCATACACCACTCGGCTACTGTGATCTGAAAATTCCCTAAACACCACATTAAAGTATGTTTAGGAGATTTCAGTGCCAAAGTAGGTAGGCGTTACTAGGTTTTCGGACTTTGTCCATAGACCGGTATTCGAAATACTAGATCCCTTTCGTTCATCAGTTGAGGAGAAGACACGTACTCAGTTGGGTTTCTTGGAAGCAGGAACGAAGTACGTAATCTCAGTAACTGGACAACCCCTCTCAGAGTAAGAGTCAGAGTTATAGTTATTTTACGACTGGCGTTTTACTACAAATCATTTTGTTTGGGCGATAAGCCCCTTGAGGCTCAGACCAGTATCTTTTCGCAGATGAACACTTGTGATCATTGACATTTAAAAAAAATATCCGCTCTGATGAGATGATGGGTCTATGGTTTGCAATTTCTGCTGGTGCTCGCCAGCGGAATCACTCTCAGGTCCGAGTCCCTCAGCACTCATGACCACATTTTACTGTCTCAGATTTAGGACTCCCCTAACCTGGAGGGCGCGGAAACCGCAGTAAAATCCTCCAGGAACAATGTGGACTAATTACACCTCCAGAAAAAGGGATCCCTTTTCGTCTCTTTCTATGAATTTCAGGACTACGGTGGAAACGTTAAATGTTACTGTCACATTCATTACAGCTATTTAAATACATGAGACCAGGCTATTTCGAAGGAAGGTAACGGGAAATATGCAATGATCATCGTAATAAAGCTCGCACATTCGTGGAACTGTGGTAAGAAGGGAGTTGAGAATTTTTGCTAGGAACGTAGGCAACAAACCGTGTCCATGAACACCAATGTGCAGAATTAATTGGGGAATTTGTGAAAACATGTAGTGCGTTCTGCTAACGCCATCTGCGGAGTAAAAACTAAACACTCCAGATTATTAGCTTATCGCAACGCACGAAGGATCTGTCACGTCACAGAGAACTCTGTGAGTGTGTAGCATCGTTGTTAATGAGGGGGATCCAGGTGGGAGAAACTGCGAAACTGGGTTGGCTGATCGGTTTGGTTAAGCGTTTCGTATGGGTCTGTTCCTTGCATTTCTGTATCAGCCGTGTCTTTCAGTTTCCAAAATCGCAACCAGACGGAGCGAGCAAGGGGAAGACGAGGCACTCCCGTATATGACACAACATAACACACAGAAGAGTTCCAGCAAAGGCGCTGCAACTTTTATGAAGAAGCAATATTATTGCGTAGGTGATCACCGCACAACAGTATACATTTAGGAGTTACACAGTTGAGTGCCGAGCCTCAGGAGGGTCCCAAACTATATGGCATCCGTCATTTCGGCAGAAAGATATTCAGGAGTTTATATGTTTATGCTAATTAGAAATTTATTTTTAAACGAAAATTGTAATTTAAAATTAACGGTTAAAATTATAACGCAAATCGAACTGAAGTTTATAAATCACCAATCTGGGTCCATGTCGATAAAATATCCAATGAGGAGTGACATCTTCATATAATGATTGCGTGATGATGAACCGACAGGGTGGAAACATGCAGCAATAATTCAAACAATGAAGGAGTCTTAACGCAGGAATATGGTTTTGTTTATTATAGAATTGTTGTATTGACTGATACATTAAGAATACAATATATGATAACACACAACAGGATAAAACAATAAAGATTAAGGGACACCAGAAAATTACATTCTTTCCATGCAACACGTTTGGTTCGGTCTTCTCTTGTCCTTCAACATTCACCTGGAAACATTTGTTTCTTTCTCTTCGCAATGCGTTGCCACCCTTTTTGGAGACAGTAAATGGTTAGCAGATTTTGTTGTGTTTATTTGCACAAGAATAAGAACATCGTATCGGATGTAGCGTGCAACAAATCTCTGTACCCAGTTTCCGCCAGTTTCATAGCTGTGAGTTTCTGCTGAGCGAGAGCGGTGGATAATGAGGATGCTATTAAAGAAAGGTTGCAAACGCCATGTTCGGTTTGCTAATTTTATCAAATTTAGGCGCATTTTGCTGAGTGTTCACAAGACGTACATCTGTGCAAGTACACATACGCGTATCTATGTTTCGGTCTGTCTGCTTCTTGCTTCTTCACACTTGGAAGGAAATGTTTAGAATGAAGTACCCGGAACGAGACTCGGCACATGCAGACAACGTTCAACTACTTGTGTGCGAAATTTCTAAGCCGTACAGTTTGTGGTTATTTTGAGAAATGCGTGTAAGTGTGACAAAATTAGCAGTTTGAAGGTTTTCGGGACTTCCCTTAAGAACTGTGTGGCTGTTTGTGTAGCCGTGAATACAGTTTATTTACACAGCTCCTTCTGAAGCCGTAAGAATTCTGCGAAATTTGCTTGCAACTTGGTGGGCACGCGGAAGCGTAGTTGGTTTAAAGGCTATGCTACAAGTCCCTATGAGGTTATTGGCTTTGTCTAAATTGACATAATTCTTCCAGCACACTATGGCCCTGGGGTCGACTCAGCCTGTAACAGAAATGAGTACCAGGAAGTAATTAAATAATTTTTCTGCGGAGTAAACCGCGGCCGGCGCGTAAGGCTGCTAACCTTACCGCCATCTTTGAGCCGATTATCTGGAAAATGTGGGACCCTCAATGTCTCACAACCCTATGGGCCTTCACGGCCTGTTGCAGGGATAGCTTTTCTCCTTTTTTTTTTTTTTTGCTTGCAACTTGAAACTGTACGAAATGCACGGCTACGTACAAGAAATTTGCTGGAAACCTGCGACTAAAATAACTGTAAACGAAAATGTGTCCTGAAGGGGAAGGGGGAATTATCTTCCAGGAAGGGAAGCATAGGTGTGAATGGGAATGCCAACAAGGCCTGGTGAGGGCGGGGGAAGCACGTAAAAGATGCAAAACATGGAACCTTATATCTTATGGTGATATTTTGTCGATACTCCATGCTTCTCTGTTGCCCCTGGAAGTGCCTCTTCTACTCAGAGTAGCGTATTCTGTGTGTGACGTCAGATGGAAGAAATCTTTCCCGTTAAGCAGTAACAGAGTAAACCGTCCCTTTTACAAATTGTAGGTGTACACGAAATGAAAGTCGACAATAGGCCGCAGGAAAGCAGTGGAAGTTCAGGATAGAAGAAATATTGTGTCTCCTCTTGATAATGATTCAGTAGACATTACGTAGTTCCGTTTTGCGTGGTGCTTACGAGCTTCTGGATTGTTTCAAACAGTTGATCCGCCGTAAGGCCGTGTATCATATTTCCCTGTTGCACTATCGGTGTGTATACCTAGTGCACGCACTAATGTGCTGCCGTTTGTACCCAATGGCAGTGTTGGCGACCTTGTCGGGATTCGAGATGGCTTGAAGGAAATCCTTGAGCAGTTCATCCTTTCCATGTGCTGTATGAGGGGGACCCTTTGAAACTCCATGCTTGTTTATACTCTTCACAACTCCTCTCAACACTATGGTACTGGTAAGCTGTTCAGTGTCATATTTACCGGTTGAGTTATCAACTATTAAGCCTAGAACAAACACGATCTCGCTTATGAAAACACTGTGTCCATCCACCACAAGAACAGAAGTATTAACACTCTCAGCGTTTGGCAGAATTTCTATGAAGAACTTCCGTACTGCTTGAGGACCTGTTTCAGCCTTCTCCGACTGCTGCTGAAACTCTATAGACAACTCCATTATGAGCCAGAGCTCCTCTCGGCTTACATTCTGAGGGTCGATTCCTCGCGCCTTTAGAATAAGTTTGATGTATTGGAATGGGATGATATACCCACTTATCTCAACAGCTCCTGTGGCATTGCTCCCTTGTGCTTTGAGGATCTGCAGTACCTCTTCCAGGCTGTCGAAGTTCACCAGGCGGTTTAGGATTAACAGTAATCGATCTTCTTCTGCGATATATATCTCGAGGATTATACGGAAAGTGCAGATATTGTAAAATTAGTATTACTTATTTTTTGTGCTTTGATAAATTCTGTACTGAACTCTATTGAGGTTTCGTATCCTTCGAAAGTAAAATTCCCATTGTTACCTTCTTTGTTTGTCTTCAAATATTGCAGATTCGCCAGTAATGTAAGGATCTCGTCCTGAGGTACGCCTTGTTCATTTGACGCAGCGGTGTCTGCATAGTGTAAATATAACAATAAGATGTTGTATATGTCTGCAGCTGTGGCGTTGCGGACATCGATATGTTTCAGTTAGTTTGAACTGCACGGAGATGTCTCTCCCTCTGAACTCTATGTAATCAGTCGCATTTAATCCTTCAGAAAGAGGCTCCTCCAGGATTCTGTAAAGTGTTTCATCTAAATGTTATTCTGTGTATACAGTTCCAATGGGTCAAGTGTTCTGTGTGCTTACACCACCTCAGTTTTTTGTTCTTGCTGCTGTTGCCCTGCTTTCTGGCCGTACACTTACTGAAGTGTTTGTCTCATTACGTTCATGCAGGAGCATGATGCTCCATAACTCTTTGCTGCTCAATTTGTCGATGCTTAGTCCATGTTGGTCCATGTAGCTTAGAATGAACTGTACAGAAGTTCTGTACCCGCTGAATATGAATGAGCCCACAGCGGGAGACCGTTGCGTCTTCATCAAGTCTATTAAGGCCCTAAGTTCAAGTGTCTGTTCCTCTGTTGGTTGCGTGCCCAGGGGTACACGTTTATGAGGGGTCCATTTCCATTTGTAGGCATGTATTATTCCATGTATCTGTTCAATATTGACGGTACGAAAATCTTTTCCACGTATCTTTAGTTGGTTCAGTATGTAAGATACTTGAATTTTCACTCCATCTATGACAATTTGACCCGTAACCCCACCATCGTTTCTCAAATACGTTATTGCATAGAGCAGTGTGACTTGTTCATATTTTTTTATATTCCTGTTCTGTGCTCTACTTCCAAGTTTCTTCTCATAAACTTCATACATCTTTATTAGTTGCCACAGATCTGACAACGTCAGTGAATATATGTCTGCGCCTTGCAAATGCACGACAGTCATTATGAAGTCTATTGAGAGTGTGTGGCTTTTGAACGTCACTTCACCTCTCGCACCATCGCCCAGGAATTTCAGATAGTTCAGTATGTCCCGCAGGACCGCCTTCTCTTTCTCAGGCATTCCATTAAATTCTTCAGTTTCGGAGAGGTAAGACGTTATGATGCCAAACAACTCTTTAGCTGTTAAATTCTTCACACTTTTTCCGTTCTGGACCAGGTACCATTCAATGAACTGTATAGATATTCTGTGTCCGAGAAATAAGAATGAGCCCGTAGCGTTGGAACTTTGCGTTTTCAAGAAATCTACTGTAATCTGAAGTTCATTTATCTGTCCTTTTGTTGGTTGTTCGGGCACTGGTTTTTGCTTAAGAAAAGGTTTAATTCCTTTTGCAATTCTTTTTATTGCTTTGACTATCTGCGAAGTCTTTTCGGTTTTGATCTCCGCCCTTGACGAATACGCCCTACCCAGGTAAACTAGTGCTCCGTCCATGTAAACTTTACCCCATGTAGTTCCTCTGCTCAGTGAACACGATCTCATAAAAAGCGCTGTGATGTGTTCATACTTGCTTATGTCCCGGGTTCTTGGTTCAGTTTTAGCCATCTTCTCATAATACCCGTACAGCTGTATTATTCCCCACAGATCTTCCACTCGCAGATCCTGTATGAATCTGCTGTCTATCTCTATAGTTGTCATTATAAAGTCGATCGGGATGCGCTGTCCCTTGAACGTAAAATCGCCCATCACCGACGCAAAAAAATCCTTCGATAAATAATTCATTATCTTCGTTAAGATGGATTTCTGGTCGATAGGCAAGTCCGTCTTGAAACGGGGGCCCTGTCTATCATCATCTCTAAACCCACAGAGGTATCTGGATTTGAGAACGGTCCTTGGAGGAACATAGGCCGCTCCATCGTCAAAGTTACTGGCCAATGCTGTGAAGGCGAGTAACAGCCAAACCTGTAAAACCAGAACGTTTGTCAGGATTAGAATATTCGTCCTTAAAAGGAGGCAGTAATGTCCTCCGAAATCTATTAGACTACAAGATGTAGTAACCAAGAAGACTAAGGCCGCGCCATAGCTCAAGCGGTTAGTCGTTGGCTTCCCACGGAGGCGGCACGGGTTCGATCCTGTGTCTGGTCTAGTGGGATTTGTGGTGGACAAAGTGGCGCTGGGGCGGGTTATATCCGAGTATTTCGGTTTCCCCTGCCAATCTTTATTCCATCAAATTCTCCATCATAATCACCCGGGGCAGGCTACAATAGGCCAAACTGTGGCCGCCGTGCCGAGTGGACCCAGCTGGACTCCACCCCCCACTAAGCGAATTAAAAAAGGAACAAGAAACTATAATCTAAATACATTGCAGTATATATGCGCCATGGAGTTATTTCTACTCTTTCACAACAGTGTAAACCTCCTCCCCCGACTGCGAGTTATCTGCACCCCTCCTATCTTCTGTACAGCGCCCTGACCCACCACATGGAATGGGCACCCGGTGGTAAATCGCCGGTCACGTGCCGAGGAGTTGAACCCTTGTGTATATTTCTGGTTTAGCTGATCCGAAGTACAAGTACAACACATCATAAATCTGTCTGAACTGTGATACCGCTTGATGACAACTGTGAGGGCCTCGTTTTCAAATATTTGCACGCATAAGTTGCAAATGTCAAATTTCTCTGAGTATAAATCAGGAAATTGCAGTCAAACACCTAGAAGCATCGGATCTCCTCGAAGGAAGGTCAAAGCCACTTCTTGGGATACGGAGACATCTGTCAAAATACTGTGGTCTAGTGGTCAGAGTTCCTGACTACAGATCCTGAGGTCCTGTGTTCTATTTCAGGCGCTACCAGATATTTTGAGAAGTAGTGGGTCTGAAACAGTGTTCACTCAGCCTTGTGAGGATAATTGAGGAGCTACTTGAGTAGAAAGGTCATTGCTCCGGTCTAGAAAACCGAGATTAACGGCGGTGGGAATCCTTTGCGCTGACCACGCGACACCCTGTATCGGGAAATTTGACATTAAGTTGGCCGATAAGCGGTGGTCACGGTCGGTATGTTTCGCTTGCGGACTAAAACCACGAAATTCTTTTATTAGTTGCAAATATGCCTGTCCTGTGTTCTAAACCTGTGCCTGTCCGTGTGTGTAAATGCAGCAAATTGAGAACCGCTAAACATATTGTCATGAAATTTGTTGTTCTGGAGTGTCACAGAACTTTGTTGACCCGCTACAGAATGTTGTAGCGCAGAGAAGAATGTGTCGAACAGAAACTGCAGAGTTCCCAGTGAACATGTATCGCGAGCCTTACGGAGTCCCAGGGTTGTTATACGTTGAATGATACAGGAATTGTTATAAACCCGGCAACGTCTTCATGACATTTCTAGCTACGAATTTTGATTTTAATTTTGGAGTCATATTGAACGTGACCTGAGTAGTCCAGACTATGTAGCGTAGAATGTGAGGCTGATGGTGAATACTGAATTGAAGTGGATAGGGAAGGAAGCTGTCGGGGCTTAATGCAAGGTAACATCCAGACTTTCACCCGGAGTTAAATGTAAATTTGTCCTTGCGCTTCATTATTTGAGAACTATGCCGTTTAGACGTACTGGGAAATGGAGGTATAGCTTCGCTACTCTTTACCTCACCTGAAACTAATACTTTAGGAGACATTGTGTCAAATGTGGAATAATATTAAAGTGTATTTTATAGCAGTGTGTAACAGGGTGTGGATTGGATTCAGCAGTCAGGTAGCGTGTTTTTGTGAACGTGGTAATGAAGCTTCGGGGGTGTAAATGCCCGAGGGATTCTTGAGTAGCTGAGCGTCTGTTAGATTTATAAGAAAGATTACCTTCCATGGAATTTGCCTAGATGCTTCCGTAACAGAGCTGACCAAGGAGAATTATTACCAATGACTGTGAAATGCGAATTTCAGTCGAAGTACCAGGAAATGAAGTACGCACGGAATTACGTATATTTACGCCAGTGCATTTTATTTGTAGGAAACTTGACGGGTACTCACTGTCCGTGTTAAGGTGCCCATGTTGCTGAAGCGCCCTTCCTCTGCGAACACTGAAAGCTTGAAGCACGATGATTGCTCCAATGGGAGGTCGTCCATATTTAAGAGGTTAGTTGCTCTTATCGCCATTTTTGTGAGACACGTACAAAGTTTCGTATCTACGGAAATAGGTGACGTCATATTTCTCATGTGCGTGCTTGAAGGTCAGTACATGTAGATAAACCTTCCGCCTGGTATGCAAATTCAATACTCATGGCTAAGGTCATGATAGACCGCGCCATAGCTCAAACTGTAAGTCGCTGGCTTCCCACCGCGGCGGTCTGGGTTAGATCCCGGGTCTGGTCAAGTGGGATTTGTGGTGGACAAAGTGGCGCTGGGGCGGGTTTTCTCCGAGTACTTCGGTTTTCCCAGCCAATCTTCATACCACCAACTGCTCCACAGTCACCCTCACCCACAATCTGGGGCTGGTACAATAGGCCAGAAATGGCCGCAGTACGAGGAACTTATTCCCACCCAACTAGCAATAAAAAAGGTTCAAATAAAAAGAAAGAAAGAAAGAAAGATACTGTTCTGTGTGTAGACAAATTTAATACGTTCGAGATAGAGACATGTGATCTGGGGCCGATTTGAAGATTCACGAGAAAGGTCCGGGAGTTTCACTGGACAGGAAACAATAATGGATGGACGTTCAGAGTACAGTGTCGAAACGTTTTATAATCGACGTTCCCCTCGGTCTCGAAGTGAAGGCTCACATACATGCTGGTCTCAGAAAGATACCTCACACTCCTCTCAGTTTCGGCTAAATTTCACGCATTGCTTAGTCTTTAGGTGAGACTTCATGCACTTCTTGGTTTCAGAAAGAATCTTCACAGAGCCCGTTGTGTCAGAAACAACATTCACACACCGATTAGTCTTAGGGCGAAACTTCACATATCACTGAATCTCAGAATCAAACTTCAAGCCCTCCGTAGTCACAGAATATAACTTCACGCTCCTCTTAGTCTCACGCATCTCTTCACGCATCTCTCAGACTCAGAATCAAACATCACGCACTGATCAGCCTCATGATGGAACCTCACACACTCCTCATTATCAGGATTAAACTTCACCGATACGCTGGTCTCAGAATGAAACTTCACACACCCCCTGCTGTCATAATCAAACCTCACGCATCGCTTAGTCTCAGAAGCATACTTCATGCTGACCAGTCTCAGGATGGAACTTGACACATCGCAGGATCTCAAAATCAAACTTCACGAACCCATGATTCTCAGGACGAAAGTTCATGTAGCGCTCAGTTTCAGGATGAAACTTCACGCACACGCTGGTCTCAGAATCAAATTTCACTCACCGTTCATTCCCAGGGTGAAACCCTACGCATCGCTCGGTTTCAGCTCGTTGCTAGGCCAGAGCTAGCTCACCAATGAATTGGCTGGATAGCGATCACGTGAGTGTGTTTCCTGTGCATGATCCCTGCCGAAAGGATAGGATATTCGTCGTGGAGGTGTGGTCAAATACCTTCACCATAGCCCTGCTAATCACAGGTTGCGATGCACTTGAGACAGTAAAATATGGTCGCGAGTCCCACGGTACTCGAACTCGAGAATGACTGCGCTGGCGAGGCCAGCAGCAATTGCAAATGACTGACCCGTCCTCTTGTCAGAGAGGTCGCCCCATATCAGCAAACACACAACTCTCCGACAGCAGTAAAGATTATGGTCGTAAGCCCCAGACGGGTTCCTCTTTCGAAGACAGTCTGGCTGACTGACCGTCGGTCGTAACATAAGGCTCAGACTCAGGTTGAGTTCAGTAGTTGTCTGCAGGATTACAGCAGTAGCCTGGAGGGGTACAGAGGGGTACAGGAACTAGGCCTGTGAAGGTATAAATGTGATCTGAAGGCTATGTGCTCTGTAGTACAGTGATATTGAGAGTGTGTGACTTTGTGAGACTTTTGTATTTCGTGTGTTATGGATCCGTTGCCGGGAAACGGGTGTGAAGATTGGATAGGGACTGGTATGATTAGAGTGGAGCGTTCTGTAGAGTAGAAGTCAGTAACAGTGTTATACTTATTTGCAGTTATAACCTGTAAATGGTCAGAAAATCAAATTTCTAAATAGAACCCCGTCTATAATTACTAAAACACATGACAATGTACGGGTCACTTTTAATATTATTGACGAGTTCACGTCACTGCGCTTCACCGAGACCTGTTGCTTGCCGGCCGCGAAACGTATGAAAGTTTTGCCTGTGACTCAACTTGCTTAACGGCAGATAGAATATGAAATGAATGAAAATAATTAACATGTAGACCTCTAAAACATTAAGTTACACGGAGGGCAGTGCCGTTCATGCATGTGGAATTTGATTATGATTTCTCAGCAGTAGGCAGTATTTATCAGTGGCATGAATAATTTGTTCTCAGTTAACAATTAGTCAACAATGTGACGAGACAAGGTTCGCGATACAACGCTTATTTCTCTATACCACCTACATGAAACACGGATCTGCTGGCAAGTTTCCACGTCAGTTTCGTGATGAACCAGTTCCTAGCAGACAAAATGTTCATAACTCGGTGGATAAAGCGAGTAAAGCTAGAACAACGGGACTGTGCTTACTGAGGAGAGGTGAGAGGACAGGGGCCAGACTTGAACACGCACACAGTCAATCACTGAACCGTCTAGCTCAGGAGACTGGAGTGTCAGCGTCTAGTGCAAGAACGGCAACATCTGCTGAAGCCATCCAGTGAAAGCTGGCGTCTGCTGTGCTGTAAGTGCAAGAAGGATTCTTGTACACGGGTTTTTAATAAACAAAATAATTGCGAAATATATTTATGTGTAGAGGGACAGCATCTTCAACTTCCTCTGTGATCAGGGAGCAAAGGTAAGATGTTCCTTGTATACCAAAGATTATCGGCATGCTGAGTTATCGGCGAAATTCGCGGGAGCTTCGCGGCCTGCAGTGCGCCGATGCGGTGAAGCTTCGAGCCGTGAACTCGTCACTTTTATTAAAAATCACTCTGTATAAGGATATATTTACAAGTCCATATTAGGCTTGGCGCCTTCTCAGGGTGCATATGGAGGAGACGAGCTCCAGATATGGAGAGCAGCTGGGAATATAGTGAATAAGCACACGCAGACAACAGACAATGGGTGTACCTTCAGCTTGGATGTTCGGCGTGGGGCCAACAGCATCTCACCTTAAAAGTAAGCCTGTTACTATATATCACGAAAACCTCGTACTTCGACGGATTCTTTGATGAAGTACCTAAGGCAATTAAACGGTACGTGGACTGTAAGAGTCTGTCGAGGGCAGGAACAGATGTTAGATTTAGCGAGAGCACAGGAGAGCATATGTGACGGGTGGAACGAAACAGCAGGCGAATATACGTGTTCATTTTTTATGTGGAAACGGAAATGAGGATCAGGAATTACGAACAGGTTTTGTACACAAGGGAACCATACAGGAGTCAAGATGGCCAAGTTTGTTAGTGACAAGTTGCCCTACGTAATGCTAAGAGGTCGCAGTTGTGATATCATTGTTCTGAATGTTAATGTCCCAACAGCGGATAAACTTGGTGATATGAAGTACAGGTTCTACGAGGAACTGGAACATGTATTCGATAAATTCATTTTTCCCAATGACTCTGCCAGACTATTCGTGGCTCTGTTATTTAGTTCCGCAATCATTTTTCACAGACGGTAGTACCCCTTGCATGAGTGATCAGCCCGTCGCTAGGCCGCTACCTAAAAACAGGACAGCCCTAAACAAGAATTTATCGTCCGTCAATATTGCAACACTTGTTTATTCACCAATTAATTTAATTTTTATTCTAACATTATACACTTTGACACTACATGTTTCGGCCTCAAACGGCCACCTTTAGGTGTCTTGATATTAAAAATAATACATTGTCTTAGTCCGTGTTAAAAATCACACGCTGTAATTCTCTTTTCAAGGTAAAACCTGATAAAATCCTTTTAAAGTTTTTATTATACCCACGTTATTTTGGTGCATTTTATTTCACCTCAACGGGGTGTGGTCAATTGCTCATAAATATATGTGTTCCCAGGGTGTTTTGTTTCGGCAGCTTGCCACTCACGTTTGTAGCCTACTTTTCAATTATGACTGCCATCTGTAATTTGTAAGTTCCATGCCCCTGGTTTGCGTGTTTCTCCACAGTGTGTGGTGTTGTCTTTACTAGTCTTTACTTACTACTGCGAGTACTTGTCTGGTTTATGAACAGCTATGCTTAGAATTAATTGGGGAATTTTTGAATATATATAGTGCCTGTCGCTTGCGCCATCTGTGGATTAAAACCCGAACACTCGAGGCTATTGCCTTATAGCAATGCATGAAGAATCTGTCACGCCATAGTGTACTCTCTGAGTGGGTAACCTCATTGTTAATAAGGGGTACCCAGGTGGGAGGAACGGAGAAACTGTTTTCGATGATCGCTTTGGTTAAGCGTTTCTCATAGGACTGTTTCTTGTATTTCCTGTATCTGCAGTGACTTTCAGTTTCCAAAATCCAAACCAGAGGGAGCGAACAGGGTAAGGGACTCAACATAACACACTGAAGAGTTCCAGCACAGCCACTGCAACTGTTGTGAAGAAGAAATAGAACATATCGCGTAGGGGATCACCGCACAACAGTATACATTTAGGAGTTACACAGACCAGGGCCGAGCCCCAGGATGGCCCCAGACTATATGGCATGCGTCATTACGCCAGAAAAATATTCAGGAGTACATAAATTATATGTTGATGCTAATTAGAAATTTATTTTTAAACGGAAACTGCAATTTAAATTTAACCGTTAAAATTATAACGCAAATCGAATTAAAGTTTATAAATCACCAGTGTGGATCCACGTCGGTATAGTATCCAGTAAGGATGACATATTCATATAATGATTTTCTGATTTTGAACCGACAGGGTGGAAACATGCAGCAATAATTCACACAATAAACTAATATTAATGAGTAAGTTTATTTCGTTTATTATAGAATTGTTGTATTGACTGATACATTAAGAATACCATATATGATAACACACAATAGGATCAAACAATAAAGATAAGAGACACAGAAAAATACATTCTTTCCCTGCAACACGTTTGGTTCGGTCTTCTCTCGTCCTTCAGCAAACACCTGGAGACTTCTGTTTCTTTCTCTTCGCAATGCATTGCCACCCTTTACGGAGACAGTAAATTGTTAGCAGATTTTGTTGTGTTTATTTGCACAAGAATAAGAACATCGTATCGGATGCAGCATGCAACAATTCTCTGTACCCAGTTTCCGCCAGTTTCATAGCTGTGAATTTCAGCTGAGCGAGAGCGGTGGATAATGAGGTTGCTATTAAAGAAAGGTTGCAAACGCCACGTTCGGTTTGCTAATTTTATCAAATTTAGATGCATTTTGCTGAGTGTTCACAAGACGTACATCTGTGCAAGTACACGTAAGCGTGTCTCTGTTTCGGTCTGTCTGCTGCTTGCTTCTTCACGTTTGGAAGGAAATGTTTCGAATGAAGTCCCCGCAAAGAGACTCGGCACGTGCAGACAACGTTCAACTACTTGTATACGAAATTTCTAAGCTCTAGAGCTTGTGGTTGTCTAGAAAAACGCGTGTAACTGTGACAAAGTTAGCAGTGGGAATGATTTCGAGAGTTGCTTTAAGAACTGAGTGGGATTTTGTGAAGCCGTGAGAACAGTTTATTTTCGCAGCTCCATCTGAAGCCGTAGAAATCTCCAAAGTTTTCTTGTAACTTGGTGGACACGCAGTAGCATAGTTGGTTTAGGGGCTATGCTACAAACCGGAAGGTCGCAGGTTCAAGTCCCTATGAGGTTAATGGATTTGTTTGAATTGACCTAATTCTTCCAGCACACTGTGGCCCTAGGGTCGACTCAGCGTGTAAGAGAAATGATTACCAGGAATTAATTAAATAATTTTCCTGTGGAGTAAAGCGAGGCCGGCGCGTAAGGCTGACAACCTTACCGCCATCTTTGAGCCGATTGTCTGGAAATGTGGGACCCTCAACATCTCACAACCCTATAGGTCTTCACGGCCCGTTGCAGGGATAGCTTTACTTCTTTTTTTTGTTTTTTTTGTTTTTTTTGCTTTCAACTTGAAACTGTACGAAATGCACGGCTACGTACAAGAAATTTGCTGGAAACCTGGAGACTGAATTAACTGTAAACGAAAATTTGTACTGAAAGGGAGGGGGAATTATCCGAGAGGAAGGGAAGCATAGGCGTGAATCGGAATGCCAACGAGGAATTGTGGGTGTGGGGTGAAGCACTAAAAGATGGCTAAACATGGAACCTTATATCCAGGGCCCGGATTTTCATGACGTGTCATCTTTTTTTCTTTATGTAGTAAACGTTGCTTTTATGTACTAAAGCCCCGATTATGAACCTCTGGTTATAAAGATGTGAATTTTATTGTGCATTTTTTGTCATATTTTGTATGTTTTAAGTTTTAGATAATTTTTACAAGTTTTTACATCATTTTTCGTCATTTTTTCACATTTTACATCAATTTTGGTTAACTTTCACGTTTTTTCATAATTGACATTCATGATCAAACTGAAGATATTTGATTTGTGAGGTAGAAATCAGTGTTCTTCAAGTAAATTTTGTTTTGTATCTTTAGCCTCTGTCGCTAAATATAATATATTTGTTTGTGAGAGGGGCATTATTTCTCTTTCTAAGCCAACAGAGATGCCGTTACTGACCCGCGCCGCTTTCTAAGCCACCGCTATGTCATAAAATTGATGCCTCAGAAATCCAGAGGGGTGTCATAAAATCAAGAAATTGGAAACTAAACGAAATGTTGTGATATTCTCATTGTTTTTATAATGAGACACATTATATAGGAAGATACAATATTCTAAGTCGCACGTCTTTCTAAAGGCTGTCGCCCCACAGGTGCAGAGGGTCAATTACTTCAAACGAAATCTCAGTATCATAAAAACATAAATTTTATAATTCAAGGAGACGCTGGTTCATTTTAAAGGACAACAATGAAGAAAATATTTTTTCCAATACGCAAACATTCTGTGTCGGCGCCTGTATTCTTAAGTACCTTTGTTCAACGAGAAACTATGTCATTTTAACAACTTGTTGGCTTAGATAGATTTATTTTCACTGCCACACTGTTAATTAGTGAAAGATCTTCATAGTGGAAAGTTTGACTCTCGGTTTCTGTAGTTTCATTCAGTCATGCCTAAAGTCTCATTTGAGGCAAATTGTTTCCCGGGTTCGGAGATGAAGTTTTTTCTACTGATGGGATAGTACTATTTTGTAAGATGTGCGAAACAAACGTATCGGGCGAAAGAAGATTCACAGTGCAGCAACATGTGAGTCGCGATAAGCATATACGAGCAGTGCAACTTGCAAGGAAGGAGAAATCCACAAAACTTTTACTGCAACAAAGTGTAGGCCTATCCGCAAAAGAAAATAAATGGTCAGATCTTCACAGAGACTTTTGTGAGGTTATTAGTTTTTAGGTCATTTGTTTAATTTTTAGGTACTTTTTTAAATATTTGTTTGTCATTTTATAGATCATTTTTCAGATATTTTTAGGTCATCAAAATCCTGGCCCTGCTAATATCCTATGGTGATATCTTGTAGATACTGCATGCTTCTCTGTTGCCCCTGCAACTGCCTCTTCTACTCCGAACACTGTATTCTGTGTGTGACGTCAGATGGAAGAAACCTTTCCCATTAAGCAGTAACAGAGTAAACCGTCCCCCTTACTAATATAAATTGTAGGTGTCCATGGATATGAAAGAAGTCAGTATGCCCCATATCTTCCTAAGAACACAGGAATGCAGCGGAAATTCAGGATAGAAGAAATATTGTCTCTCCTCTTGCTTATGTTTCAGTAGACAATAGTTGCGTTTTGCGTGGTGCTTACGAGTGGTGCTGGATTGTTTAAAACAATTGATCTGCAGTAAGGCTTTGTGTGTCATCTTTCCATGTTGCACTATCGATGTGTAGAACTAGTGCACTTTCTAGAGCTTGCACACTAATGTGGTGACCGCCTTACACAGTGGCAGTGCTGGCGACATTGTCGGAATTCGAGATGACTTGAAGGAATTCCTTGAGCAGTTCATCCTTTCCATGTCCTGTTTTAGAGGGAACGGTTGAAGCTCCCTGCTTGTCTATAACCTCCAGTACTGCTCTCAACACTGCGGTAGTGGTAAGGTTTGCAGTGTCATATTTACCGGTTGAGTTGTCAACTTTTAAGCCGAGAGCAAACACGATCTCGCTTATGGAAACATTGTGTTCATCTACCACAAGAACAGAAGTATTAACACTCTCAGTGTTTGACAGAATTTCGATGAAGAAGTTCAGTACTGCTTGAGGACCTATTTCAGACTTCCCCGGCTGCTTCTGAAACTCTATAGACAACTCTGTTATGATGCAGAGCTGCTCTCGGCTTACATTCTGAGGGTCGATTCCTCGCGCCTTAAGAATAAGTTTGATGTTTTGGAATGGGATGATATACCCACTGATCTCAACAGCTCCTGTGGCATTGTCCCCTTGTGCCTTGAGGATCTGCTGCACCCCTTCGAGGCTGGAGATGTCTTCACTGGGTGGTTTAGGATTAACAGTAATGGAGCTTCCTTCTTGTGCGATATATATATATCGAGGATTATACAGACAGTACAGATGTTGTTATATTATTCGTATTAACATTTTGTTTTTTCATAATTTCTGCAATGAACTGTATTGAAATTTCATGTCCATCGACATTCAAATTTCCATTGTAATGTTGTTCCTTCGTCTTCAGGTATTACAGATCAACTCTAATCTTGTATGTTTGCAGCTGTGGCGTTGCGGACATCGATATGTTTCATGCTCAAATCGGTTATTGTGAGTTGCAGAGAAATATTTTTCCTCCTGAATTGTATGTATCCAGTCGCATTTTTACTTCAGAAAATAGTTCGTCCACGATTTTGTGAAGTGTGTCATTTACATGTGTTTCCGTTACGGTTCCACATATTTTTATTCTTGTTGTTGTTTTCCCACTGCCTGGCCCTGCACTTACTGCAGTGGCTGTGTTTGTCTCGTTACTTTCGTGCAGGAGCATGATGCTCCATAACTCTTTGATGCTCAGTTTGTCGATGCTTAGTCCATGTTGGGCCATGTAGCTTAGAATGAACTGTACAGAAGTTCTGTACCCGCTGAATATGAATGAGCCCACAGTGGGAGACCGTTGCGTCTTCAGCAAGTCTATTAGTGCCCTAAGTTCAAGTGTCTGTTCCTCTGTTGGTTGTGTGCCCAGGGGTACACGTGTAGGAGGGGTGTATTTCTTTAAGTAGGCACTTGTTATTATATGTATCTGCTCCATAGTGGCGGTACGTATATCTTTTCCAAATATCTTCAACTGTTTCAGTATGTAAGATACTGGAATTTTCACTCCATCAATGACAATTTGACCCGTAAACCCAGCATCATTTCGCAAATACGTTATTGCATAGAGCAGTGTGACTTGTTCATACTTGCTAATATTCCGGTTTTGTGGTTCACTTCCAAGTTTCTTCTCATAAACTTCATACATCTTCATTAGTTCCCACAGATCTACCACCGTCAGTGAATATATGTCTGCGCCTTGCAAATGTACGACAGTCATTATGAAGTCTATTGAGAGTTTGTGGCTTTTGAACGTCACTTCACCTCTCGCCCCATCGCCCAGCAATTGCACATAGTTCAGAATGTCCCGCAGTACTGCCTTTTCCTTCTCAGGCAGTGCATCAAATATTTTAGTCTCGCGGACATATGCACGGATGATGTTCCACAATTCATCTGACTTTAAACTCTTGACACTTTTTCCGTTCTTGGCCAGATTCCATAGAATGTACTCTATAGATATTCGGTATTTACTAACCGTAAAAGACCCCGTAGCGTTTGGCCCTTGTGTCTTCAAGAAATCCATTATGGCGTTAACTTTGTGTATGTCTAAGTATGATGGATTCTGGGTAACTGGTGTGTACGGTATATAAACCCTGTGTTTTCTTGCATATTCTTTTGTTACTTTTAGCAGTTCCTCTGTTGTGGCGGTAAGAATATCTCTCGAAGTCTCCTTCAACCTGTCCGATACTGCAAGTACTGGAACTGTACTTCCACCCGTGTAAATGCGACTCCGACGCCATTCTTTGTTGCGTTTTACATACGCCTGTACATAGAGCATTAAGACTTGTTCATACTTGCTCATACCTCGGTTTGGAGGTTCACTTTCCGCTTTCATCTCGTAATCCCCGTACAGCTGTATTATTTCCCACAGATCTTCCACCTGTATACTTCTTATGGATTTCCCCTCTATATACAGAACTGTCAGAATGAAGTCTACCGGGATGCGCTGCTCGATGAACGTAAACTCACCCGTCACCCACATATAATCAGCCATCTTTAAATAATTAAAAATTTTTTGTAAAATGATTTTCTGGTCCTTAGACAGCTCCTTCTTGTGACTGTGGCCCTGTTTATCGCCGTAAATATGATCATGACCACCATTATTACCACTGTGCTGCTTACCTCCCGCAACGTCCGTTTCATGATCAGGGACCGCTTCAACTTCAACGTTAATGGCTAAGGCTGTGAGGGCAAGTAATAGCCAAACCTGTAAAAGAAGAACGCTTGTCAGCATTGGAATATTCGCCCTGAAAAGGAGGCAGTAATGTCCTCCGAAACCTACTGGACAAGAAGATGTAACCAAGAGGACTACAATCTATATACATTGCAGTATGTTTACCCCATGGAGATATTTCCACCCTTTCAGGACAGTGTAAACCTCCCTCCGGCTGCGAGTTATCTGCACCCCTCCCTCCTTCTGGACAGCTCCCTGCACCACCGGATGGAATGGGCACCGGTGTGTAAATCGCCGGCCACGTGCCGAGGATAAGAATGCGCGGAGCAGTATCTCCATTGCCCCATGTATGTTTATGGCGGGGTGCTTAATCAAGCTCAAGCAGAGCTTATCTTGCACTAGAATCCCGACGAATAACATGCCTAAGCAGGGACCTCGCCTCCTCCAGTACTCACCCGGCTGAACCGAACTTCAGTAATATATTTCTTACATCCTTGTAACATTCATTTGCATTCAGGATGTTACTTCATAAACTGAAGGTTCATTTTCTTGTTCAGAAGAGCTCGATAGAGGTCCATATCCTGAAGCAACTCAAGCCAGTCAATTACACACCATCCTATTTCTGTAAGATTGATTTTAATATTATCACCCCACTTATGTCTAAGCCTTCCTAGTGGTCTTCTGATTTTCTCACCTCAGCTCTATATGCATTCCTCTTCTTCCCATGCTTGCCATATGCCTTGCCCATCACAAATCTCCTCGACTTTATCATTCCGGTTATATTTGGTAAAAAGTGTACAAATTACGAATACTTCGTTTTGCAAATTTTCCCAACCTCCTGTTAATGTCAGTGAGTAGAAGTGAATTTAAACGCGTTCACTTTGAGGGACTGAGGAAAATCCATGTGGTTAGCCGGTAGCACCCTTGCACATTTCAGCCCTGGAGGGAGACCCTGAAGTGTGGACTGGACCGGAGCCCTTGCCAATTTATTTGTACGATTGCAATGACAACGAAGCATATTTATGTGCGGAAATACAGTTTTGTGTACACATTCTGAAGAGAGGGAGTTGTGCCCGGCAGGCTGTATCTGTTTCACTGCAAGTAGCCACCTAGAAGGAAATAATTTCTGAATGTGCTGTAGATTTTGTTACATGGTCACCTTTGTCACTGTGATGCTGCTGCTGCTGATGATGATGAAAATAAAATGTAAAAAGTAAATTTGTCCCTGTCTTAATTAGGTAAGCACTATTGCATGGAAGCGTATGAGAGAATAGATGTACATCTCAAGTAGCGGGCTGTTGTGAATATGGTAATGAACCTTCGGGGGTGTAAATGTCTGATGAATTATTGAGTAGCTGAGCGACTGTTAGATTTATAAGAAAGATTACGTTTCAGGGACTTTGCATAGATGCCTCCGTAACGGAGCTGGCCCAGGAGAATTATTACGAATGTCCATGAAATGCGAATTTAAATTGACGTACCAAGAAATGAAATACCCACGTGTATTTACATGTATTTACGTTATCGCATTTTATTTTTCGGAAACCTGACGGGTACTCACTGTCCATGTTAGGGTGCACATGTTGCTCAAGCGCCCTTCCTCTGCGAACACTGAAGCTTGAAGCACGATGATTCCTCTAATGGGAGGACGTCCGTATTTAAGAGGTTAGTTGCTATTATCGCCAATTTTTTCCCACACACGCCGAAGTTTCATATCTATGAAAATAGCTAGTATCACAATTTTTATGTGCGCAATACCTGCCGCCTGGTATGCAAATTCAGTATTCGCATGTAGGGTCATGATAATGACATGATAAACGGCAAGGTCTGGAGGAATGCTCTGGCTGCCCGACAGTTTGGCAGTACGAATGGATTATCGTTTAAAAATAGAGATACTGTTTTGTGGGTAGACAAATTATAAATAAAAATGACGTTTGAGTTAGAGACATGTGATCACTAACATGATCCCTGAGTTTCACTGGAAGGGAAACAAAGCAGGACGGACATTTAGACTGCAGTGTCGGAACATCTTTTAACGGACGTGCACTTCGGACAGACACCTCACACTCCCCTCCGTCTAGGCGAAACATCGCACATCGCTCAGTCTTAAAGTGATACTTTGCACTACTTGGTTTCATAATGAAACTTCAGAGTGCCATTTGTCTCAGAAACAAAATTCACGCACAACTTACTCTCAGGACGAAACTTGATGCAACGCTCAGTCTCAGAATCAAATTTCAGACACCGATAAGTCTCAGAATGAAACTTCACGCACCGCTCAGTCTCACGATGAAACTTCAATCAGAGGCTGGTCTTAGAATCAAACTTCAAGTACCCCCAGTCTCAGAAACAAAATTCACGTATCACTTAGTCTCAGGGTGAAACTTTACACATATCTGAATCTCAAAATCAATCTTCACAAACAGCTCAGTCTCAGGATGAAATTTCACGCACCCCCTGCCCTCATAATGAAACTTCAAACACCGCCTAGTCTCAGGATGAGACTTAACGCACACGGTGATCTCACAATGAAACATCACGCACCCCCTCCTCTCGTAACCAACCCTTACGCACTGCTTAGTTTCAGCGTGAAACTTCATGCATCGCTCTCTCAGAATCAAAGTTCACGCACCGATTATTCTCAAGGTGAAACTCCGTGCATCGCTCGGTTTCAGCTCGTTGCTAGGCCACAGCGAGCCCACCAATGAAAAGGCTGTAAAGCGTACGTGACATTTGTTTCCCGTTCATGGTCCGTGCCAAGAGGATAGGAGATTCGGCGTGAAGGTGGGGTCGAATACTTCCACCTAAGCACTGCGATTCATAGGTTGCGAGGAAAAGTGAAGTGTTCAATCTGAGACAGTAGCATATTGTCGCGAGTCCCGCTAGACTCGGACCTGAGAATGACTGCGTTGGCGAGGACCAGCAGCAATTGATAACGGCAGACCCGTCCTCCCATCAGGGAGAGCGACCCATATCAACAAATCCACAACTTTCCGACAGCAGTACAAATTGTGGTCGTAAGCCCTAGACGGATTCTTTACTCGAAGACAGCCTGGCTGACTGGCCGTCAGTCGTAACATAAGGCTCAGACTCAGGTTGAGTTCAGTAGTTGTCTGCAGGATTACAGCAGTAGCCTGGAGGGGTACAGAGGGGTACAGGAACTGGCCTGTGAAGATTTATGTGTGATCTGAAGGCCATGTGCTCTGTCGTATAGTTATATTGGGAGTGTGTGACTCTGTGAGACTTTTAGATTTCGTGTGTTATCGATCCGTTCCCGGGAAACGGGTGTGAAGTCTTGGATAGGGAATGGGAAGATCAGCGCGGAGTGATGTGTAGTGTAGAAATCAGTGACAGTGTTATACTTATTTGCAGTTATGACTTCTAAATGATCAGTAAATCAAACTACTAAACCGAACACTGTCTATAATTACTAAAACACATGACAGTATACTGGGAGTCATCGGTAACATTCTCATGCGCTTCGCGGCTTGCAGTGCGCCGGTTGCGGTGAAGCGTCCAGCCGTGAACTCGTCACTTTTATTAAAAATCACCCAGCATATAAATACAAGTCCATATTAGGCGGGCCCATTGTCGCCACGGCATAGAGCATTCTCAGGGTGCAGATGGAGGAGACTGCCTCCACGAATGGAGGGCAGCTGCGAATGTAGTGAATAAGCACACGCAGACAACAGACTGTGGGTGTTCCTCCAGCTTGGGGGTTAGACGTGGGGCCAGAAACTTCTTACAGTAAAAAATAATCCTCTTACAGAACGTCACGAAAACATCGGACGGATTTTTGATGAAGTATCTAAGGTAAGGAAACTGAATATGAGATTCGGTACATGGACTGTAAGAAGTCAGTAGAGGGCAGGTTCGCCCATCAAAGTTTCGAAAAATATCGGAACAGAAGTGAGATATAGCGAGAGAACAGGAGAGTATATGTGACAGGGGTGGCTTCGAAACAGCAGGCGAATATGCGAGTTCATTTTTCTATGGAAAGCTGAAATGAGGATCAGAATTAGGTACAGGTTTTGTTTGAACAGAAGGGAACTATACAAGAGTTAAGATGGCCAAGTTTGTTAGTGACAAGTTGTCCTACGTAATGCTAAGAGGTCGCAGTTGTGAAATCATTGTTCTGAATGTTAATGTCCCAACTGCGGATAAACTTGATGAAATGAAGAGCAGGTTCTACGGGGAACAAGAACATGTATTCCATAAATTCCCTTTTTTTCAATGGCTCTTCCTGCCACACACGCCGAAGTTTCATATCTACGAAAATAGCTAATATCATAATTCTCGTGTGCGCAATACCTGCCGCCTGGTATGCAAATTCAGTATTCGCATGTAGGGTCAAGATAATTACATGATAAACGGCAAGGTCTGGAGGAGTGCTCTGGCTGCCCGACAGTTTGGCAGTACGAATGCATTATCGTTTAAAAACAGAGACACTGTTTTGTGGGTATACAAATTTAAAATAAAAATGACGTGTGAGATAGAGACATGTGATCACTAACATGATCCCTGAGTTTCACTGGAAGGGAAACAACGATGGATGGACGTTTAGACTGCAGTGTCGGAACATTTTTAACCGACGTGCACTTCGGACAGAAACTTCACACTCCTCTCCATCTAGGCGAAACATCGCGCATCGCTCAGTCTTAAAGCGATACTTTGCACTACTTGGTTTCATAATGAAACTTCAGAGTGCCATTTGTCTCAGAAACAAAATTCACGCACAACTTACTCTCAGGACAAAACTTGACGCATCGCTCAGTCTTAAAGCGATACTTTGCACTACTTGGTTTCATAATGAAACTTCAGAGTGCCATTTGTCTCAGAAACAAAATTCACGCACAACTTACTCTCAGGACAAAACTTGACGCATCGCTCAGTCTTAAAGCGATACTTTGCACTACTTGGTTTCATAATGAAACTTCAGAGTGCCATTTGTCTCAGAAACAAAATTCACGCACAACTTACTCTCAGGACAAAACTTGACGCATCGCTCAGTCTTAAAGCGATACTTTGCACTACTTGGTTTCATAATGAAACTTCAGAGTGCCATTTGTCTCAGAAACAAAATTCACGCACAACTTACTCTCAGGACAAAACTTGACGCATCGCTCAGTCTTAAAGCGATACTTTGCACTACTTGGTTTCATAATGAAACTTCAGAGTGCCATTTGTCTCAGAAACAAAATTCACGCACAACTTACTCTCAGGACAAAACTTGACGCATCGCTCAGTCTCAGAATCAAAGTTCAGACACCGATATAAGTCACAGAATGAAACTTCACGCACCGCTCAGTCTCATGATGAAACTTCATGCAGAGGCTGGTCTTAGAGTCAAACTTCAAGCACCCCCAGTCTCAGAAACAAAATTCACTTATAACTTAGTCTCAGGGTCAAACTTCACACACATCTGAATCTCAAAATCAATCTTCACAAACCTCTCAGTCTCAGGATGAAACTTCACGCACCCCGTGCCCTCATAATGAAACTTCAAACACCGCCTAGTCTCAGGATGGGACTTAACGCACACGGTGGTCTCACAGTGAAACTTCACACACCCCCTGCCTCGTAACCAACCTTAACGCACCGCTTAGTCTCAGGATGAAACTTCATGCATCGCTCTCTCAGACTGAAATTTCACGCACTGATCAGTCTCAGGATGAAACTTCATGCACCCTCTAATCTCAGACTCAAACTTCACGCACTGATCAGTCACAGGATGAAACTTCATGCACTCCCTAATATCAGAATCAAACTTCACTCACCGATTATTCTCAAGGATAAACTCCACGCATCGCTCTGTTTCAGCTCGTTGCAAAGCCACAGCCAGCGCACCAATGAAATGGCTGTAAAGCGATCACGTGACATTTGTTCCCGTACATGGTCCGTGAGGAGAGGATTGGAGATTCGGCGTGGAGGTGGGGTCAAATACGTCCACCATAGCTGTGCGATTCATAGGTTGCGACGAAAAGTGAAGTCTTTAATCTGAGACAGTAGCATATTGTCGCGAGTCCCACTGGACTCGGACCTGAGAATGACTGCTTTGGCGAGGACCAGCAGCAAATGAAAACGGCAGACCCGTCCTTCCGTAAGAGACAGCGACCCATATCAACAAATCCACAACTTTCCGACAGCAGTACAAATTGTGGTCGTAAGCCCTAGACGGATTCTTTACTCGAAGACAGCCTGGCTGACTGGCCGTCAGTCGTAACATAAGGCTCAGACTCAGGTTGAGTTCAGTAGTTGTCTGCAGGATTACAGCAGTAGCCTGGAGGGGTACAGAGGGGTACAGGAACTGGCCTGTGAAGATTTATGTGTGATCTGAAGGCCATGTGCTCTGTCGTATAGTTATATTGGGAGTGTGTGACTCTGTGAGACTTTTAGATTTCGTGTGTTATCGATCCGTTCCCGGGAAACGGGTGTGAAGTCTTGGATAGGGAATGGGAAGATCAGCGCGGAGTGATGTGTAGTGTAGAAATCAGTGACAGTGTTATACTTATTTGCAGTTATGACTTCTAAATGATCAGTAAATCAAACTACTAAACCGAACACTGTCTATAATTACTAAAACACATGACAGTATACTGGGAGTCATCGGTAACATTCTCATGC